TTTATTGTGGATTTCATAGTTTACGATTGACAGTGTGGGTCTGGCAAAAGGGTAAAACTGATGTTACGTCACTATTCTTATCTCATTTCCCTGTGAACCTGTAAGCACCCGCCGATCTTCACCTCATGACTCTTCTCCTCGACTGTAACACCTTCAAACCCTGATTAATTGACTTGTCAGCAGAGTATTTTTATCCTGTTCTCCTGTTGGCTATGGATCCACAGTCCTTCCCAGTGTCCTCTGGTGTCCTACCGAGCACTGGGTGATGCTTTGGGCCAATCAAGCCCTTCTGTCACCTAGCGGCACCATTGGAGCACCTGACTGGAGGACAGGAGTGATGGAACTTCCTGTCCTGACTGTTTGACTTGGAGCCCGAGGCTATATTAATGTTCCCCCACAGTGTGCAAAGGAACCTACAGCATGTTAAATCTGTGTGTCATTGGGAATGTAAATTTGGAATGACACTGTAGCCGGCTGCAAATTAGTACAGCTTTACTCAGAGGAAGTTCTGAAGAACCTTGCGGCAACAATACAGCTTCAATTTCACACAGTGGGGTTTAGTGAATGGTGTGGCTTGACAAACTGCACATTTACGGTTATTTACTTTGCAGATCTTTTCACCAAAGGTACATAAATATAAATGCACTGCAGGCTGACACAACCAACATGGCACTGCATAGTTAATAAAGGTATAAAGATACAGATAAAGCCCTATCCGAATTCAGAGTGGCACTTGAAATTAATACAACAAACACAGCCATAAAATTCTCTGTTATGTAACAAGTCAGTAGAGGTTTAGCCTGTAAAAGTAAAACAAATATTTTCAATAAATTAGGATTTGGTTTGAAGGCATTGTTGCTTTGCAAGCATTTGAAGTTCCCTCTGAGACTATGTACCATAATTAAGTTTGTGAGAGGTCTATTCCGCCGCACGGCAAGTTAAACTCAATTTGCCATTCTGATTGTTACCTAAACCCTCTGTGGGGTTTAGGAACAAAAACTGTAGATGATATTTGACTATTTAATTATTCCGTTTTATTAAATACACCAAACTGCCACCACATACAAGATTCAAAGTCGATGTTTCGTACTTGAAAGCAATCAAAATATGTTTCATAAGCAGTCAAGCCACTGGGAGTGTAACTAGGCTTGATGATTGGTATTAGGCCTGTGGGACTGGTATTAAATATTTAAAAGAACGTCTCACAAACACACATACTTAAAAAGCTTCGGTTTCAGCTGTAATAGGATTAACTCGAGATATCTGCTGTAAATATCGTTCATAACTTTGCTCCCAGATGACAGTCAACTGAAGTCAATAGTCCAGCAAAGCAATATATTATACAATCTTGTTTGGATGCCAAAGTTCTTGAAACAGTATTTTCTTTTGTCTTTCTGAAGAGAGAAAGTTATGCAGGTTTGGAACACCATGAAGGTGAGTAAAATGACTTTCCATTTTTGAATTTCCATTTTTGGGCGAACTATCCCTTTAGCCTTTCTGTTTAATATGAACTCGGCACCTTCTGACAGACTCTGTTCTGTGCTGACAAAGAGACCTGGCCCTGTCTGTTGGCATTTGTCCAATCATAGGGATGTATTCCTGAGGGAGATATGCGACAGGGCCTGGCCTTTTTTGGGTCACCATAACAATCATTCCAGCACTTCAGCGTGGAGACTTCAAATGTTAGTCTGAGCCATTTGGTTCACCGATTCAACAGATTTATGGGATGTATGTTTTGTCTATTTTTGCTTGAGTGTATCATGTTTACTTTGTGGAGAGAACTCTCGTCCTGCCCTCTCTTTTTTTTCACACCAGTGACCAGACTCCAATGGAGCACAGTGCAGAATCCACTCACCTCTCACTGTTACAAATAAACCACAGAGTGCAACCTACAAAGGACTGCAGAAAAACACAGAAGTATGGTGCCTGCAATGTTAAAGGTATATATTGTATATTGTACCTTGAATGCTTTGTATAAAAATGCTGTCAAATATAAATTCTATATAAATTCTATTTTTTATGATTTACAAAATATAACATTTGTGTCTAACAAGTTATATAATGCCATGTCTGAAAAGGTTTTTGTAGTGGCTTCCTTTTGGTATATAGCCATCTCCGTGTGGAAAAGTAAAATTGACGCTGCTCCAAAGCCTGTTTGATCAAGACTAGTGTTTATTGTAACAAAGGCATACATACTTGAAAATAAAACAAAACTGTGACATGAAAGATAGTTGATCTGCAGGTCAAAAAACTGTCTCCCTTCCCTCCCCCATTGCCACATCACATAAAATAATACATACAAACATTCAATTGGCACAGAATATAGAAAAGACATTATACAACAACATTAACACCTTTATGGCTCCTACATCCCGGCCCTTCAATTGACAATATTAAGGCAATTACATATACCTATATTAAGGAGCCATAAAAAGTTCATAGTACAGGTGCATCTCAAAGTTCATTTATTTCAGTAATTCAACTCAAATTGTGAAACTCGTGTATTAAATAAATTCAATGCACACAGACTGAAGTAGTTTAAGTCTTTGGTTCTTTTAATTGTTAACATGCTTGGATACAGCACTCTGTGAACAGCCAGCTTCTTTGGCAATGAATGTTTGTGGCTTACCCTCCTTGTGAAGGGTGTCAATGATTGTCTTCTATTGACAGCTGTCAGATCAGCAGTCTTCCCCGTGATTGTGTAGCCTAGTGAACCAAACTGAGAGACCATTTTGAAGGCTCAGGAAACCTTTGCAGGTGTTTTGAGTTGATTAGCTGATTGGCATGTCACCATATTCTAATTTGTTGAGATAGTGAATTGGTGGGTTTTTGTTAAATGTGAGCCAAAATCATCACAATTAAAAGAACCAAAGATTTAAACTACTTCAGTCTGTGTGCATTGAATTTATTTAATACACGAGTTTCACAATTTGAGTTGAATTACTGAAATAAATGAACTTATCCACGACATTCTAATTTATTGAGATGCACCTGTACAATGTCCCCTTAAAGGGCTAGTTCACCCAAAAATGAAAATTCTGTCATTAATTACTCACCCTCATGTTGTTCCAAACCCGTAAGACCTCTGTTCATCTTCGGAACACAAATTAAGATGTTTTTGATGCATTCTGACAGCTCTCTGACCCTCCCATAGACAGCAAGGGTACTACCACGATCAACGTCCAGAAACGTAGCAAGGAGATCGGTAAAATAAACCATGTGACATCAGGCGTTCAGCCGTAATATTACGAAGCTAGGAGAATACTTTTTGTGCACAAAAGAAAAGAAAATAACGACTTTATTCAACAATTCGTCTCCCCCGCGTCACCCTAGTGCCATTTTGGAGAGTATCCACTGAACGCAAACAGCGTATGTTGTTCTATGTCAGCCACACAATCTCTCTTTTGAGCATCCTGTCAACCTGAGAAGCAAGGACGGCAGCCGTCAACTCGAGCCTAGGGATAGTTACAGGCTTTAATGGGGCAACTCTGGCATTGCCCAATACAAAGGCAACATGAACAGCATCACTGATGTTAGTAAGTCACAAATAGCTAGCTATACCATACCCTGCCTCGCTAGCATCACTAAAGTGATGTAGCTGGGCTGCTTGTATTTTTCCATAATTTGATGGTTTGAAACATCTGTGAATGCTTAGGTTGTTTAGTTTGTCCAAACCCTCAAGCCATTTCTCCCAGTGTTTCATTAACCCATCTGGAATCTTATTATCCCAGCCACAGTTGACTTGGCAGAGTTCCTGTTGTATTCTCTTTGCAGGGAGAATCAATGGGGCAAGAAACCCAATCGGATCATAGATAGAGTTCACAGTGGAAAGAATAGTCCTCCTGGTGGGCTGTTGCTCCTTTAAGTTAATCTTAAAGGGGTCATATGATGCTTTTTAAAGCTCATTATTTTGTGTATTTGATGTAACAGAATATGTTGACATGCTTTAATGTTCAAAAAACACTTTATTTTTCAAATACTGTACATTATTGTAGGTCCTCTATGCCCCTCCTCTCTCAAACGCTTCGTTTTCTACAAAGTCCCTCCTTCCGACAAGCGCAGTCTGCTCTGATTGGCCAGCTGACCCAGTGCATTGTGATTGGCTGAACTCCGCAAGCACTCGTTGGAAATGTAACGCCCCTTACCATAAATCGCGAGCTTCATCTTTCAAAATAAATGTAAAGACAGAACCCGAAAGGGGAACAGAGTCGCGTGACAGACACAGTGATGAAGCTGGTATGTGTCTGCAGTACACAAGCCATGGTTAAGACAGCTGACTCCACTGTGATGTGACCCTCTCTCTCTCTCTCTCTCGCTAGCGCACACACACACGATGCACAAAACTCCACATATGAACAGTCAATAGCAAATACTTATACTAATAATAAAACAGTAGCTGATTCAGAAGCGCCAGATTGCCATCGCAAAGTCAGAATTACCTCATCTCCTAGGTTCACGAAACGGTCGTCCATAAAATGCATTGCTGTTCTGTTGTAAGTAATCTTAAAGATTCCTAAATGCATCTACTTTCGGAAGGCCAAATAAAGTGCTTTTGTTTTCGCCTAGAAACACACAGCGTCTCCCTGACATGGCTGCTTCAACACTAACTGCGGTTAATGAAACCACGCCTTCTTTCTTTGCGTGCACATTTGGGCGGCATTATGCAAATATTTCCACATAGTGAGGTAGATATGTGATCCAACTCCTTAACTTCTTTGGCTTTCTCCTCATCTGGAATAGAAGCTAAAACAGAATGACTGTTACTCGTCCATTTTGTTAGTCTGACTCCACCCATGGCACAGACAGCTCTTAAATCTTGAATTAGGGAAATGGCCGCATCCTCATCGGGTAAGGAAGTAAAGCAGTCATCAACATAGAAATTCCTTCGAATGTTATTAAGAACCTGCTTACAGACTCTACCCTCATTGCCCTCTGCTGTTTTCTTGAGTGCATAATTCGCACAACTAGGTGAAGAGACAGCACCAAAGAGGTGCACCAACATCCGATGCTCTGCCAAAGGTTGACTGATGTCACTTTTAAGCCTCCACAAGAATCGCAAGAAGTCAACATCCTTGTGTGCAACTTTAACCTGATGAAACATTCCTTCGATATCTGCCATGACTGCCACAGGTTTCTGACGGAATCGAAGGATAACTCCAAGCAGGCTGTTTGAAAGGTCAGGACCCTGGAGAAGCTCATAATCATAATTCAGCTGGCTTACGAGAAGCTCATCCAAACTGGAAATTTAAATTCTGTTGCAGAACACCTTTAGTCGTTCATTTTTACGTATAGATGGGTTTCTGCCCAATGGGCCATTAATAAGCCATCCTTATTGTGTCAAGACTGCATAGGGTCCATCTCCCTGACTATTAATGACCCTCCATGGCTCTATACTGTAAGCTTTGGCGCATTAACTCCTATCAACAGATCGACTTCCACATCAATGGTGTTCAAACAGACCTCATTAAGATACGGCCAGTGCCGAATATCCTCTTCAGTAGGAATGTTCTCTTTGCCAACTGGTATACGAGCTTGAGTGAAAACCTCCGGGAGGGACAAGAAGTTATTGCTATTAAGGTTGCTCAATTCTAACCAATCTAATTTATATGTACATATTGGTCTCTCTTGCCCCATTGTCCTGAGTAAAACTTCTGTTCTCCTTCCTCTCACATGTAACCTTTCCATTAGGTTTTCTGTGCAGAACGTAGCAGAGCTTCTGGGATCAAGAAAGGCATAGGTTTGCATTAAGTTACTTCCATTGCAAGCCTTGACCTTTACTGGTACAATTGCAAGTTTGTAGTCGAAGGAACCGACCTGCTCTGTTGACACCATAGCCATTGTAATAGGGTTACCGTTGTCCTTTAGAATAGCCTCATTGCCATCCTTCCTATTCTGGGAAATGTGTTGCTCTTTAGGGGGCATGTTTTCAACATGGAGAATCGTTGGATGCCTTTTGTGACAAATCTTGCAAGCCAGACGTTTCCAACATACTTTGCTCATGTGTCCTTTTAGAAGACATGCAAAGCATAGTTCTTTACCCTTTAGGAAATCCACCCTCTTTTAATGAGATTTTAAAGCTATCTGACGACATGATTCCAATGCATGATTACCAAAACAGAACAAACAGGGGGATTGTAATGCAACATTTGTAGTCTCTGCACTCTTTGATTCTTTCGTACTGGATATCAGTGAGGATACAGAAGTAGCAAAGCTTTTCTTACTGCCAGATTTCAGGGGACAAAATTCAGTCTTTACCTTAATGCTCTTTGTTGTAGAAGTAAGTTCTTGAATATTGCCAATGATAGGATCTTGCAGTATTTTTGCCTGCCTTTCAATGAAAGCAACCACACCCTGGAATTTAGCTCTACTGTGTGTTCTTTCTAGAATGTCACATGCAGTATTTCTCCACTTTTCACATAAATTATATGGAAGCTTGGATATTATTTGCTTAAGGTTGGAAGGAAAGTCAAGATTAAACATGTTAGGGAGGTCTTCAGCAGCATTACAACAACCTCTCAGATAAAGTGCATAAGCACGAAGAGCCTTTCCATCATCAGCCTTGATATTACTCCAACTTAAGCTGGCTGCACACTAGACAATTTTCAAATCTTAAAAGATTTTAAAACCATTGGAGACCACAGACATGAAGACAGTTCAACCGATTTTTAGCCTTATAATCCTTTGAATGCGCACACTAGATGATTAGACCAGACCACGAGACCACACACTTGATGATTGTAGGAAAGATTTCACAGTGACACAAGATCTCATGGACACTCGTGAGATCAAACATGACTAGAGAAGAAAAACAAATAGAGGACAATCGATGTTGTCAGCTGGCTCTCCCAGCACGCGTTCTGTTGTACAGTGAAAAACAAAGTATAGAAAAGAATATGGGTGATGTTCTCTGCTTTCATGGCATGTTTGTGGCTGCCGAGCTTCAGCTATAGAAGCACGCAACATCCGGTAGGTGACACTTGCTCACTCTCATTGGCTACCGCAGGTATCACATCAGAGGCAGCCTGATCAAGAGTCGTACATATCAAACATGCTTGATATTTACGATTTGAGTTCGACGATGCTCCGTCTCGATCAGGAGCAGTTAAATAATCGCAATGACACCACACAATAGAGGATTTTTTGGACAAAAAAAAATTGCTTGCGACAAGCTGCGAATCGGGCCACACCCCCGATCATTCATGGGTGCAAATCGGGCTTAAAATCGGCCTTAAAATCCTCTAGTGTGCGGCCAGCCTTAGGGCCTTCTCCTAGGGCACTTGTGATCTTTACTTCATCACCAAAATGAAGTTTCAGAAGCTTCTTAGCTTCAGCATAACCCCTTCTAGCGTCCATGTGCAAGCAGCTTCGGACAAGTTCCCTTGACTGGCCGGAAGTGAACTGTTCCAGATAGTAAAGTCTATCCCTGCTGTTGTCCGTTTTATCTTCAATGATTTTATCATTCTGCCTCTGCACCACATTTGAAAGATTCATACTTGTAGGTCCAACATCTGTATAACTGGCAGATGGATTTTGAATTTGCATAGCATACTTTATAGCTGTGTCATCAACTTTGTACTTCCTTTGTGCAACTTGATCGGGTTTTTGAGGTTGAAGCATCCTCAAAGTTTTTAGGATAGCTCCAAGTTGAACAAACTCAAAAGATGTTGAAGTTCCTGATGGTGTTTGATCATGAATTGCTGTCTGCTTAGAATTCTCAGCACCATACTTTTCAAGATACTATTTCATTTCACCCTTAAGTTCATAATGCTGCGTACACACTAAAAGATTTTAAAAATCTTATAAGATCTTCAAAATGTGAGAGACTACAAAGATGAGGGGGAAAAATCCTAGATTTAACTGTTTTGCTCCTATAGTGTGTGGTGTTACTCCCCACACATCAGGATTTATTCATGATCAGGGCGCTTTCGACGTTCTTCCGAGCAGAATCAGTCACTCTTAACACACTTCATACCACATGAAAATCTGATAAGATAATCTTTAGAACCACCAAGATAATCGGGACATTACCTAGGATTGTCGGAAGGGGAGAAATCGGCCCAAAATCAGCCAGATTATCTTGTGGTGTGTACCCAGCATAAGACTGATGAGAATTGACAGAACAATCATGCAGATTTGGGCTTGCAGTTGTTTCAAAGTCTTCTAAAACCTTCAGTTTGCAGCTAGGTCACATTCCAAATTGGCTGATTCAAGTCTCTTGTTCAAATCAGTCTTTTCCATTTCAAGGGTGTTTTTTAAACATTAAAGCATGTCAACATATTCTGTTACACCAAATAATGATCTTTAAAATAGCATCATATGACCCCTTTAATGCAGCTTTGAGTGATTTCCTATGAATGAAACCAGTCAATACGTTCATTTTCTCTGATATCATCAGGTAGTTGCTCTTGCACAAGCTTATGAGCAATCTTGAATTCATTAAGTGCCACAAAAAATGTCTCCACACCTTTTTTTATTGATTCCAAATCCTCACCAGCAGCAAGCAATGCTTTCGCTTCATTCATCCTACGTGGGTAACACACATAACTAATCTAAACAAACAAACAAATAAACATACACTCACGCGTACATGGGGAAAGGGCAAATTAGACTTGATGGATGAAACCATCAGGAAAACCAAAGAATGAAGCTATGAAAAGAGTCAGTTAACCACCTGAGTGAAACCATCAAAGTTAAGAGTCAACCACACCTACCTAAAATGGCTAATTCTAACACGCCCCCACATGTCTACGTCACTATGTGGAAATATTAGCATAATGCCGCCCAAATGTGCACGCAAAGAAAAAAGGCATGGTTTCAGGAACAGCAGTAGTGTTGATACAGCCATGTCAGGGAGACTCTGTGTGATTCAGTGCGAAAGCAAAAGCACTTTATTTGGGAATAAATAAACTTCCGGAAGTAGATGCAATTAGGAATCATTGGTTAAGATTTATTTACAACAGAACAGCACAACCCAGATGTTCGAATTTGTGCAATGCATTTTATGGAAGACAGTTTTTTGAACCTAAAAGAGTACAAGGCTGGTTGTGCATAAAGGCTATTTCTAAAAAAAAAATTAAAAAAAGGGTAAATTCCGACTTTGCTATGACAATCTGGCACTTCCCTTGAACAAGCGTCCGGATGCAGTCTCAGATGAAAGTCTTGATGGTTTGGAGGTTCGGTGGTGTAGGAGTTGCGATCACGTTCTTCCGGGTTTGAAGAGTGATGAACTCCAAAAATATGTTATTCTGACTCTGTCGTGGTCGGGAGTGTTTTTTCCCAGATGAAGGTAATGAAGAGCTAAGAGAGACATCGGGTGAGATCCAAGGATCGTTGGTGAATGTAAAGACAAGGCCGAAGCTGGCCGCAGACTAAGGGGTTGCAGAAGATTTCTTAGCTCTGGTTTGGAGGTTCGGTGGTGTAGGAGTCATGATCACCTTCTTTCGGGTTTGAAGAGTGATGAACTCCAAAGATGTTCTGACTCGATGGTGATTGAGAGTTTCTTCCCAGTGGAAAGTGAAAAAGAGCTAAGAGAGACATCAGCTGAGATCCTAAGATCTTTGGTGAATGTAAAGTCAAGGCCAAGGCCTGGTCAGACTTAAGGGTTGCAGAAGAGTTTCTAGCTCACATCCTCATCTTCTCAGAAACTAACAAAACCACAGACTGAAAGGCTATATGTTGGAGCCCACCAGGCATGCCCGCACCGGCTCAGGCTCTCCATACGGACAGCAATCAGAAGATTTAGCAGAAGACCTAGGGCGGAACTGTGCGTGAGCCCTTTAAAGTCTGAGAAGATTCACGCCTCTCAGGATAGGCTTGTCCAATGAAACTGGCTGAATTTCCAAGCGGGAGGTTGGAAATACTTGGGGGTTTTATGACCCTTTGTCTGAGAGCATGGTAATTTGCATATGGAACTGGTTTGGATGTTGATATGCAAACTATTAAAGATTCTTAGAACACTAATATGTTGCATAGGTATCCAGTATCCACATATTATGTGCACTCTCGTTTAGAGCATCAGAAAACGAATTCATAAATACTAAACATGGTATAGGTAAGATTACATGAACGAGTGGTTCTATCATAAGCATGCAGAAAACAGTATACAATACAAAACACAATATACAAGAACAGTAACAACATACACAATGACCTGAAGGTTATGTGTGTTCATTCAAAGAAAGGTTTTCCTATGAATTAATTAGAGAAGAGTCCATTTTTATGGGCATTATGTTTTTCCTATGGTTGAAAGATGGATAAAATGTATCTGGTCTGGCTGAGGGGTCCTGGTTGCCATGGTAACCAGGGGCCTGGGGTCGTTCCCAGACATGCTGGCACCTAGTATGTTTATTGGGTGAAGGGTCTGTGATTATTTGTTAATCTAATGAATAATTGATTTGTTAAATCTAATGAACAAATGTGTGTCTGATTGGTTCAAATGCTACAGAAGACTTTAAATGAAAGTCTAGCTTTGTGTGAAAAACAGTCTAGTTATTCACTGAAAATCTTTTATACATTTATTCCTAACACAAAAATTTTGGCTTCAGAATGTGCAGTTCAGTGCATGAGTCGTATGGATCACTTGAAAGGAACTTTTGACAGGCCTAGTCTTCATTCTCTTTATATAACACAATGCATTGTTATATTGAAAACAGTAGTCAGAATTTTCTACAGAAATTCATATTTTATGTTCCATGGAAGAAAACAGCTTAAGGGTGAATAAATGTGTAAATGTTGACCGAATTATTATGTGAATTATTAAACAAATGGTATTTTAGTATTAAGATTAGGCTTAGACTCTTTTTAGGCTTAGAAATTTTGAATGAAGTCTGACCACTGAAAGCTAAGCAAAAGTTAACATGGATGTAGAATGGCACACAGGTCTTTGCTTTACACCGATTTCTCTGTGCACACCGCTCTCGAGG